GAGGTTGGGAGCCGTGGTCATCATGGCCCAAGTCCCGCCGCCGCCGTGGCAAGGGCAACGGCAAGGACCAAGACGACGACTGGTGGGCCAGCAAGAACGACACCCCCAAGGCTCGCTCCGCCGAGGACATCTTGGCGGAGCTCCAGGCGATCGCCCCCCACATCGACAAGGCAGCCATTGACGGCATCAAGTCGCAGATTCCGCCGCCCCAGCCGCAGAAGCCAGCCGACCTCAACGACATCTACAGCCGCGCCCAGGCTACGGAGCGCCGCTGCAAGAACAACCTGGAGAGGCTGCTGGAGAGCGAGCAGAAGGCGCTCAGCTGGTACACAGAGCGCAAGCAGGCGTCGGAGGAGGCCGCCTACAAGTTGGCTGAAGCCCAGGCGGAGGCCCAAGCGGCTCTCGACGCACTCCAAGCCGCCCGCAAGGGCGGCACAGCTACTTCTACGCCGTCGCAGCAGAACCCGACCTTCAACCTCACCAGCCTCCTCGAGGACGGCGACATCTCCATCGAAGCGGGTGCAGCGTTCGATCTCCAAGGCCTCGACATCGACGACAGCGACCGCCAGGCATGGGAATCCCTGCAACAGCGCTTTGCCACGGAGCTCAAGGCCAAGGTCACTGAGCTCTTCGGCAACACCGCCAGCCGCATCAGCCAGCTCCGAGCAGAGGCCAGCACCATGCGCACGCGCTTCGCCTCCAAGCGGCAGCGCGCTGACGAGGATGGGCACGCCAGAGAGGGAGGTGGATCACCGCCCGCCGCCTCGGCTGCAGCAGGCGAACCCCCAGCGGCAGCCGCAGCGGATGCTGAGGGCACTGCGCCCTCTCCGCCAGCGGCGCCAAGCGATGAGCCTCCCGCACCTGCTGCTGGCGCTTCTTCTGACGGCGGCTACGCCACACAGCCTGCACCTGCACTCAACAAGGACCCCGACCTCGAAGACAAGGCACAGAAGATGCTCAGCCAGATGCGCAAGCCCACTGCGGCCGCCGCCGCTGGACCGCAGCAGCCTCTTTAGCCGACTACAATCCGACCCTGGACGGAAGGGTGAGACGGGACGCCTACCGTCAGAGACCACGATCTACGACAACCCACCGATCATCAATACAATGGACGCAGTCCTCGACCCGTTCGACGAGCTGGCCGAGTTGGACGCCCACATCGATTTCGCAGTTTCCGAGCAGTACGCTACCGCCCCGCCCGAGACGCTGTCCTCGGTAGGGGGCGATGAGGCGGCACAGACCGTCGACCCCGTGGCATGGGACCCAGGGCAGCCGCAGCGTACTACGCGGTCCGACCCTGATGCCGCTCCGCCCGAGACGCTGTCCTCGGTAGGGAGCGATGAGACGGCACAAGCTGTCGACGTGCATGCGGTACAGGAACCAGGGGAGCCTTCGCCAAAGGCAAACCCTGATGCCGCCCCGCCCAAGACGCAGTCCATGGTAGGGGGCGATGAGATGGCGAAAGCTGTCGACACGCCCGCAGGGAAAGGGCCATGGAAGCCCAGCAGCCCGAGAGCCGACCCTAGTCCCGCCTACCAAGACGAAGGCCCTACGAAGCCCCCGCTGTCAGACCATTCCCTGTTCTTCTCCAACATTACTCAATGGGGACCACAGTCGGAGAAATGGTTGGCAGGACCAGGCAAGCAATATCAGATGGTAGCGTTAGTTGAAACACACATCTCGCCTGGAAAAGCGCCGCCCATCTACGACAAGCTAGCAGCGGATGGTTGGAGAATATCATCGACTACGGCCACTCCTACCAGTAGATCAGACGGCGGCAACACGGGTGGCGAGATCATCTTATCCAGGTACCAAGTCCAGGCCACCACGTTCAACCACCTCCGTGACCTTGCCATCTCCCAACGCAGGCCTGACCCGTTCCTCGGCTTCACGCCCATGGTATGGCACAGACGTTCTGGCAACTTGGTTGTTATTGCCGCGCATCTGGAACCCCACAGGCAGATCGAGGGTGCAGTACACGATAAGCTACTTTCGCTGGGAGCGTTCGTTACTATGCTCACAGACCCTTGGATCATCCTGGCCGATTGGAACATGACACCAGAGCAGCTTGCAGCGACAGAGTGGCTCGCCAAATGGAATGCTACCATCGTGCGAGCACCTGGATCCGCCACTTGCGACAAGGGCCAGGGACTCACGCTTGATTTCGCATTGGTCAAGACTGGCATCGAGCACACGATCTCCATTCGCCAGTGCCCCACAGTACCCTGGGCCACCCACGTTGGCCTTGAAGTTCGAGCAGGCAGTGCAGACCCCTGGTGGTATCAGTCGATCGATACCCCCAAGTCCTTCCCCATAGTGATCAGACCCAGGATTCCGCCAGACCCCAACAGCAAGACCGCCATCAAGAAACGTAAAACAGCTGAAGCTCGAGCAGCACGTCTCCGTGATCTACCTCCTGAACTCCAACAAGCAGCAGCACAGCTTCAGCCACAAGACGAGCCCGCAGCACAGGAACCTATCCCCTACGCCATCCCGATGGACTCGTGGGAAAAACAATGGCAGGAAGCGGCACCCACACGTTGTAAGCAGCCACACGCGCACTTCGTGTACAGACACTGGGTGCACGACGCCGACGTCCTCAACCTCAAGTACGCCAAATGGGTCACGGCGCTCGAGAACACCATGATCAGCCACCACCAGATTGACCCGAAGGAAGCTGCAGCATACACTGGCCGAGCTCAGGGCTACCAGTTATCTTGGAAGAAGACAGCTGCTGCCCCAGGCCGCGTACACGTACACGACTCACATTCGGAATGGTGGGCAATTACGCTCACCCTCATCAAGCGCTACGCCGCGCTTCACGACCAGCCCAAGCACACAGCGCTTATGCAGCAGCAGGCCACCATCATCCAGCAGCGCGCGGACCACTTCAACACTCACATGCACGACCTTCAGTTCGAGAAGGATGAGGACACCATCTTCCGATGGTTTGCGCTCGTCTGGGCCCCGCACCTGGGCAAGGATGACACCGACGACTTGGTCACCATTACCGCTACCTGGGCCTCCAGAGCCCTCTCGGCCGCCCTCGCCAAGTCCAAGAGGGCCTACGGGGCTTGGCTCGCCCAGCAATGGAAGCACCGCCCTGGAGTACTACACGCCCATGTCAAGCCAGCACCCGCACGTCACATCGAGGCCTACACGGCCAACCTGACCATCGCTGACCTCACCGTCATCATGGACAACAAGAAGCAACAATGGCAGCAAGTATGGCAAGCCACCGAGACCTCCGACGACATCCTCCAGGCCCCGTCAAAGGCCAAGGCAGCAGTTGCTCATCAACCGCTCGAGCCCATCACAGCCGAGATCGTACACCGCATTCACGGCCGCATGCCACCCAGTAAAGCACACGGAGTTGACGCCCTAGGACCTCGCGACCTCCATCGATTACCAGAACCAGCGGTCGAAGCTTATGCAGATATCCTCAACTCAGTGGAGCAAGCAGGCATCTGGCCACTACAAATTTCAGGCACCATTGCAGCTCTCGCCGCCAAGAAGTCTGGAGGCGACAGGGTCCTCGGCATGCTCCCTCATATGGCCAGACTCTGGTCTCGCATTAGATCTACCGCATCGGCAGCCTGGACGCAAGGTCTGGACGACTTTTGGACTACAGCCATCAAAGGCTCTTCAGCTCTCCAAGCCGCCCTACATAGGGCCTTGTTAGACGAGACAGCCTCAGCACTTGGCATACAGTCGGCCACCTTGCTATTAGACATCCAGAAGTTCTACGACAATATCAAGCTCGCCAACCTCATCACGGTCGGCCTCAACTGCGGCTTTCCTCCCATCATTCTATTATTGGAGGTACAGCTATACCTGACGCCCAGATTCTTGCGCAGTCGGCAATGGGTGAGTATGCCTATCTTCGCCTCCAAAGGCATCATTGCAGGCTCCCCTCACGGCACCACCCTGGCACGACTTATTTTGCTACCAATTCTTCGACAAGCCCAAGCTCAGGCAGAGCTTGCCCAGATGTGGACCTTCGTCGACGACACTGTTCTTCGAGTCGAAGGAGTCCTACGTGCTTTACAGAAGCACCTCCCCCGTGCCGCCAGGACGCTCTGCGACGGATTAAAGGAGTTCGAGCTGCCTATCTCAGACAAGACCGTCCTCAGTGGCTCCACTCCCAAGGTCCGCCACTCGCTAGCCAAGAAGATGCGACAGTACGGCATCCCAGTTACTGCGACCTCCACGGCCGTCGACCTTGGAGTTGACGCGGCCGCGGCTACTCGACGTGTACAAGCCAAAGCCAGGAAGCGACAGATCTCAGCCACAGCCAGGTTTCGCAAGATGCACCGACTACGGAGCACTGCACAGCAGGCCCGAATCTCAGCTGGACTGTGGCGCACTGGTGCTCTCCCAGAAGGAGTATTCGGTCATCAGGTTCACGGCCTCGCTCGGCACGCTCTACTATGCCGGCGGCGTCAGGCCGCCATTGCAGCCACGGGCGCCGCCGCAGGCCGATGCCTCACCTCCCTCCTCGGCGCCACTTTCGACGGCATGGACCCAGGAGTTTCCCTAAGGATCGAGTTCATCGAGGCTTGGCTTCAGCACTGGATACGCCACCCGAGCACGCACGCCAGGATCATCAGAGCCTGGCCAAGGATCAAGACCACCTTGCTCGCCGCCGGCCCCAAGCTGTGGTGCAAGGTCAAGGGCCCCACAGGCGCGGCCATCGCGACCCTGCTGGAGGCTAGTTGGGAGCCGACCTCAGCTACCAAGTGGAGGCGTACGAAGGACGGCTACATCGAGGAGTGGAACCTCCCCCCTGCCGACGACCCCGACCTCCTCGACGCCGACATTCACACAGTATTGCAGGACGTCAGCGAGGATTTACACAGGCTCCTCTGGACGCAGGCCGCTACGCATGCCCATGGAGACACGCTGGCTGGAGGCGCAGACATGGTCACTATCCGCATTGAACAAAGGAGGTTCCTCGCAAACGGCGACTTCAGCGACTGGGCCCTCAACAACACCATCATCAGCGGAGGACAGTGGACCAGAGACCGCCTCCACAACGCGGGCTACCAGATCGACAGGAACTGCGACCGCTGCAGCGCTGGAGTTCCTGAAACCTTGTTTCACCGAATGTGGCAGTGCGAGGCGAACGCTGGACCCGAGTTTGAGGCCAGCGACAAGCTACTGCCGCGAGCCTTGGCGGGGGCCGACGCCGACCCCGCCTTGTGGCTCCGCGGCATTCCCTCTGTTGCTCTCACTACGCCCACGTTCGAGCCATTGACTGGGAGGGACGGGTGGGAGTTTGTTGGTGCGGTGCGGGAGGGTTTGCCGTCCTGGGAAGGTGCTCGTAACGCAGAGGGTGAGTTGTTTCTTTTTGGTGACGGGTCTGGCGGTGCCTTTTCTGACGACGTCAGGCGACGTCGCGTCGGATCTGGCCTCGCGGCCCTCCGTTGGAACCCTCCCTCGGCCTCCTGGACCCTCCACGCGGGCCCCCTTGCCCCCCTCCCAGGCTCCCGCCAGACCGTCCCAAGAGGAGAATTATATGCGTTTTGCCTGGCACTAGAGACGTGCCATCAGGATTTCACGTTTGTTACCGATCACCTAGCCTTGCAGCGTGGTTGGCAGAATGGCAGATGTCTCAGGCCAGGCAGCCTCGGAGGTAAGAATAAGAATGGAGATCTCTGGCTGAGAATTCGGCATCTCGTGCAGGATCGACCTTGCGGCGTCTCCTCGGTCACGGTGCTCTGGACCCCATCTCATGCCGATCCCCAGACTCTTCACGGTTTTCAGAAATTCCTAGCTCTCGGCAATCAGCAAGCCGATGAGCTTGCGGGAAGCGCGGCCCACAAGTCGGCCACCCTTGCCCTCCCGCCTGTGCCCAGGACTGACGAATACGATGCTATCGCAGCGATTGTCCGACAGCGGGCACGACTAATCCTACGTTCCTTAGGAAAGAATTCAGAGCCTCGAGGACTGTGGCCAGAGAGGCAACCCACGCAGGAGGCAGCCCCTCGTTCTCTGTTGCAGACCGCGATCGCGGCTTCACAGCACAAATTCGAGCGGTGTGCAGACAAATGGCGATGCTCTGCCTGCCTCATCATCGTCGATGCTTGCCAGGTTATTCCAGCCGCCGCCACGGAGTGTGTACCGCCTTGCCCCCTTCCCGAGTTTGCTGCGTGTGGCGAGGTGCTGTGGTCGAGGGGTCCCCGTGTGATCAGTGGCAAGGCGATACACCCCTCCCACACGTTGGCCACCATCCCCAAGTGGCAAATGTTCTTCTGCGTGAAGTGCGGCCATACGGCCACACACCAGGTCAAAAGCTTACAGTTCCCTTGCCCTCTCACCCACCAAGTGGGAGAGCGCAGGGCCCTGGGACCCACTGGCAAAGGCCTCGAAAACCTCAGCAGGATCAGGCGAGGCCTCCATCCGTCCAGATCGGGTCCCAGCAAGTCTGTTCTAGAGGCTATGCATGTTTCGGCAGCCGAAGCCGCGATCGTTTCTCACGCGGCTGGCGCTGCCTCTGAGTAAATTGTGAGGCCAGGGGGGCCTGTCGCGGTGTGCCGTGGGATGTCGCCCCCCACGGCTCTCCGAGAAATTCTGGATGGCCCCCCTGGCGTCTCTGGGTTCCCGAACGGACTACGTCCGATTGCTCCACTCCATTCCTCCTCCTCCTCCTCCTCCTCCTCCTCCTCCTTCTCCTCCTCCTCCTCCTCCTCCTCCTCCTCCTCCTACCACCACCTCCTCCTCCTCCCACCATCTCCTCCTCCTCCCACCTCCTCCTCCTCCTCCTCCTCCTCCTCCCTCCTCCTCCTCCCCCTCCTCCTTCTCCTCCTCCTCTTCCTGCTCCTCCTCCTCCTCCTCCTCCTCCTCCTCCTCCTTAGTCGTGCGCGGGGCCCGGCGGAGGCCACGCACTGGCCCCCCGGACAGCGTCGGTTACGCGCAGTCGAGGCCTCCCAGATGGGGTCGGAGGGTCGCGCCGCATCGCCGATGCATCGGCGATGCGGCTCGATGTGCAGCCCGATGTGCTTCACGTCGACGTCGCCGACGCATCGCCGACGTCGACGATGCATCGCCACTGCATCGCCGATGCATCGCCGGTGCATCGCCGATGCATCGCCGATGCATCGCCGATGCATCGGCGATGCGGCGCGATCTGCCGACCCCGGCTACTCTGCGTAAGGGTGACGTTTCGCCCGAGTGGCTTTCGGTGCGGGCACAGTGGGGTCCCCTGATGACCGAGTGCGATGCGAGAACAGCGTCTTGCGCGCTCGTTTGGCCTACCCGCGGCCCCCGAAAGTCGCGCACCAAAGGTCGCTCTTGCCCGGAGGCACTCTTGCGTGTAGCCGACGGTCGTTCGCGAAGTCGGTCGCGCTTCTCGCCCCGCGGAGGGTGGGCGAGGCGCCCTTCTCCACGCCAGCGGCGCGAGGGCGCAGACACGGCCGCGCGATGCGCAGCCGCGGGGCGCGATGCGCGAGGTCAGGTGGCCCAGGATGCGCGGTCCTGCTCCTCCTCGCGCTTCTGCCACTTAGCTTCCCGTGGGCAGTCAGGGCGGTCCAGTCGACGCCACCGCTCGGCTCGGCTCGAGCGAAACGCTTGGGAGCAGGAAGGCGCCCGCGAGCCGCACTGCCTCGAGCGCCTCCCGCTGCCCCTGGCGGCCTCAGCACCTGGTCGGACCGCGAGGAGCGTCTTCGCCAGGTGTGCCTCGCCGAGGCTTCTCCAGTGATTTTTTTACGGGTATACGCCGGCCACGCGCAGGGGTTGGGCAAGGGGAGGGGGGGAGGCGTCTCAGAAGCACCCCTGCTGCTGAGACGACGCGGGCCAGGTCTGCAGATGTGAGGCTAGCGCCTGCAAAGAAGCAGCCTTCTTCTAAGAAGCCTTCCCCCCCTCCCCCTACCCCCCTGTTAGCGCCGCCGATGACGGTCAGAGCTTTGGGCTTAGCGTGTCGAGCCACCAGTTCTGGCCCCCCAGCTTCTGGCGCGACACGCTGACCACGTCCCGGACCCTGGGCGTCAACATCCCGAGCGGTTTATGGCCTCCTGCCCCGCGGAACGGAGCGACACGCTATCCGCTTGCGAAGCATAGCGTTGTCGCAGGGGCCGCCGCCGCAACACGTCAAGCAGAAGTTCGCGTCCGTGGCTCCGAAAAGCCCCTTGGGGCGAGCTTCGGCAGACGGCCCCGAGGGCGGGGAGGAAGGGCAAGCGGCAAGCCTGCCCTTCGCGCCCGCGCTCTGAGCCCAGGGGCGCATCGCGCCACGGCACCGCCCGCCTCTCTGGGCGAAAGGCGCTGGAGGGGCTCCCAGGGAGGCCTCCAGGCCGCAGGGGCCTGAGAGGAGGGGAGGAGGGAGGAGGGGAGGAGAGAGGAGGGAGGGAGGGAGGATGGAGGGAGGGAGGACGGGAGGAGGGAGGGAGGAGGGAGGATGGAGGAGGGAGGAGGGAGGAGGGAGGAAGGACGGGAGGAGGGAGGAGGAGGGAGGATGGAGGAGGGAGGAGGGAGGAGGGAGGAGGGAGGAAAGGTGAAGAAGGGGACTCGCTGCCACCGCTCTCCGGGCGCCTCTTCCCCCAAAGGGGCGGTTTTCGCGGTGCGCGCGCCGGCCTTGGCGTGGGTCGCTTGCACTCTCCTGCCAGGCCTGGCCTGGGGCATCACACGAGAAAGGAGGTGAAAGAGGAGGAGAAGGTGGCCACGAAAGAAAAGGCTGCACAAACACAAACTTCCAGAGCTCCGAAAAGCTGTTTTTTACGCAGCTTGTTCTTCTTCTGTGAGGGTGGAGCAGAGTATTCGGGGGAAGCGGGGTGTTAGAGACGACTGTGATTTGGAAGACCAGGTGCAGAGGGCAAGTCCTGGAGACAGCGAGGACATGGCGCATTGGAACCAGCTGGTTGCGCCATGGGTGCCGCTGATGCATCGTGGCCATAGGGTCATGTCCATAGGGTTGCACCATCGGTGCTGCTGGTTTGTCATGTCCACGCGCTCGCTCGCCCCATCGGTGCCACTGACGTGTCGTGGCCATCGGGTCCCGCCCATGTGTTGCGCCATGGGTGCCGCTGACTGGTTTGCCGTGGCAATTGGGTCCCGCCCATGGGTGCCCGCCCGTGGGTTTGTGTTATTTCGATGTGCGTTGTGTAGCCTTGCTTCGCCTTGCGCCACAGAGTATGCACGAATTAACTGGATGGGGTCATGCTGGAACCAGTGTCCCCTGTCAAAACCGCATTGTTGTCTGTTTGCGGGATCCTCCATGCATCCGTCTGGCATTTCAAGCTCTCACACACTCTTGCCAGCACTTTGCGCGGGGCTGGATACGGTCACAGGCGCCAGCGTTCGAGCCTCCAGAAGCGCACAAGCACCACATGCAACGTACACGTCCCTCCACGGCTGGGCGCCCTTGCCGACGGTAGGAGGAGGAGGAGGAGGAGGAGGAGGAGGAGGAGGCGGAGGCGGAGGCGGAGGCGGAGGAGGCGGAGGCGGCGGAGGCGGAGGAGGAGGAGGAGGATAATTAGAGGCCCAAGCGCAGGCGCCACCGTATGCGCGCGCCGCGCATGTGGACCATGGACGCACCACAAAGCTTGTCAGCTTCCAGAGCCACTCGGGCCCGCTGATTGGCACTTGGGACAGAGGAGGACCGGGTGGTGGGAAGGGGGAGGAGGAAGAGGGGAGGAGGGCGAAGAGGAAGAGGGGGGAAGAGGAGAAGGGACGAGGATGAGGATCCTCCAGTGCGCTCTCCAAGGTCTATGAGCAGACAAGCTCTTTCGCTCTTTATTCAGCGTTATTTCTGGCAGCACGTTGACTGCATGTTAACCCGAAGCACCGAGACATACAGTGACGACCATCGTGCGACGGATGCCCTCAGTGCCTGCGCTCCTTTGTGCTTTGTGCTTGTCTTGAACAGCTGTTTGCCTGGCCAGTGAATCGCTGCTGCGGCCGAGGGCAGGTTTTGTTGTGCATGCCATCCACCGGCGGACGAAAAGAGAAGAGCATAACCAGGTGTTCCGCCGACGGAGGCGCTCGTTTCAGGGCGCGACTGCTGAAATCATGAGTTCGACTGTGCACGCCGTGGGAGGGGTACCACTTTTCCCCGCCCCGCGCCGGCTCTCCGTTCCTTTTCCCTCTTCTGCCCCCACGTCCCCTCCCTGCGTCAGTTCTTGGGCCAGACCTCCCAACACCACTCGGCGGACGAGCTCATTGTATACACAGGCGTGCCCGAGAAGAGTTCGTTCAGTTCGCCAGAGATTTGGCTGGGGAGGGGGGCGGTTCATCGGTTACGCGATTTCACTACAGATCTGCACAGGCACCACGCGCCCTTACTTTTGCAAACTCAGTGAACGTGCACTCCACACCAGTCCCACCATTCTTGGATATATTCCCCAATCAGAGCTTGCCTCTATAGGGGTCCTAGCGGGTTCATAAGGTTAGGTGAAGTTCGTCGCCGATTTCGGTGGCCGGCTCGGGTGCCCAGGTGCCCGGGGGTGCCTGGGGGTGCCCAGGTGCCCGGGTGCCCGGGTGCCCGGTAGCCCTATATCTTTATAGCTTCATAGCCCTATAGCCCTATAGCCCTATAGCCTTATAGCCCTATAGCCCTACAGCCCTATAGCCCTAATAGCCCTATAGCCCTATAGCCCTAAAAATATTATGATAGGCGCTTCTCACTGGTATCATAGATAGATAGTAGTGTGTATATGTATATATATGTATATATATATATCATGGGACCCTTCCGGTATTACTCTATATTGTTTTTCGTCCGTCGGGTTCGGAGTGGCTGGGATCGCGGCAGCTGCGAAGTGCTTTTGGGTGCAGTTGCGAACCTGCGTGCGACAGTGAGGCGGGCGCGATCCTCTTTCAGAAAAGGTGCCACTTCGGAAGATGGAAGGGCAGGGGATGAATGCTCTGCGTTCAGCCAAGTTGCCGTCTGTCGCAGGGATTTGCCTCCAGCAGTCGTCATGGCGAGGAGTCGCCAGAGTGGTTTCATGGAGATGAGCAGGTGCTGATATTACAAAGACCCTGACACATGTGATGACAATTGACAAGGTAATTTCCCCTAGCAGTGCTTGCGCCACCGGGAGGTCTTTTTTTCGTTTCGAAAAAGCTGGAGGTGCTTGCTGAGTGTTCGGCTCGCGGGCGCCTGTGGTGCCTTATGACGCCTTATGGGTGTTCTCGAAGTTGTCGATTCGCTGTCGCCTTGGATTCCAAATGGTGCCCTATGGATGTTTTCCTTCGTGGGCACCCTCGGCATCCATATGCATCGGAGTACACATTTGCATCACACATGTTCTCTTTCCTAACGAGTGTTGCACTATACTCCTCATACCGAGGCCAGACCTCACGGACCCCATCCAGGTGTTGGATTCTGCCACATGGATTATGATTTACCCCTCGTACGCAACATGACATCAGACCATCCCAGCCGTCGATCCTACATGTGTCTTCTCATCAATGACTCGACTCGAGAATCACCATGTGGCCCACACGCGCGCGCGCACTCGCCCCCCACACGCGCACGTTAACATATCTTACCAGCCATTAGTAACCTATCGATTTCTACTTGAATTAGCCTGGCGAAGGATCCAACCCTTTGTATCCGAGTGGCAGCTACAGACTTGCTCCGTCGGCGGCGAGGCAGAGGCAGTCCGCTCCAGCGTGCGGCTATTCGGGGCAACCGAAAGGCGAATTGGCAGCTGTAAACAGGACCGCTGCAAACACAAGAGCACACTGAGTGAGCCTTAGCACCCATGAGTGCGTCGCGAAACGCACGCGGGGCGAAGCGAAAAGGGCGAGGCGACGCCATGCGGCCGCAGCCGCTGGGGTCTTCGGTGGAGCTCCCTAGAAAGGAGCCACGAAACGTGCGAGGGGTGTGCAAAAGTGGGCACGAGTCACAATGCGAGCCCGCCTTCCCCCCCCCCACCACAAACCTTGGATCGGGGATCGACGGGTTGTTTGAGCGTGTTCGGAGCGCTCTTCGAGGCCACGGGGGCCTCGCCGCCACCAGGGCCATTCGTGCTTGCCCCCGGGGAGGCGCGAGGTCGAGTCAAGATGTGCGTACGCCGCTCCGCTGGACCTCCCAGGGTCACACGAAAGTGCCGATGGTTGCGCAGGTGGCAACTCCCCAGGGAGCTGCTAGGTCCAGTCTGGATGTGCGTAAGACACTGCTCCGTTGAATTTAGCAGGAGCCCACGAAAGTGACGACAGTCACGCAGGTGGCAACCTCCCAGGGAGCCGCGAGGTCTAGGAATGTGCGTGAGACACCTCTCCGCTGGACCTCCCAGGAGCTCACGAAAGTGGCGACAGTCGCGCAGGTGGCGGCCCCCCAGGGAGCCGCGAGATCTAGCGTGGATGCGCGTAAGACACCACTCCGCTGGACCTCCCAGTAGCCCACGAAAGTGACGACAGTTGCGCATTTGGCAGCCCCCAGGAAGTACTGAGCCCAGCACCCCACGAAGGTGGCCACAGTTGTCCAGGTCGCAGCCCCCCAGGGGGAGCGCGAGATGGCAGGAGGCAGGAAGAAAGGAGGGGGCGGGAGGCTGGAGCAAACA